AAAACACATTTGTCATAGGTATTTGGGCAGCGTTTATTAACGACGCCCTCTCTTCTCCCGCTCGCACTAAACGCCTGCTACCCAGGCTATGTAGAAAAATACTCATCAACGTTTCGTGCGAAGGCTTTCGTTGTAAAGCAAGGTGCTTTTATTGTAAAGCTGCAAAGGCAAATGTGTAAAATGAAAAGAACCAATCCAACAAAAAACAAAAGGATTTGAAAAAAATATAACTTGCGCCTGCGCATATGCTAAATCGTAACAAAGCACCATATGAAACGTCGAAATGGGGAAGTTAGGAATTGGAAAGATGACATGTGATAACGTGTAACTGTATTCATGCCTGCTCTTGGAAGTACAGGCAATGACAGATAATCAGCAATATTAAGAAGTTTACACGGAAATCCTTATTGAGACTCATTACGTACAAGCAAATAAAGCACGTGACCACCTTTGTATACTATATAAGCGGCGTGTTTTATCTGTATCTTAGCGTTACTCCCTTGACAAAGGTTCTTGGTTATTTAGTACATAAAACTCTTTTATAATTCTGTGATGGATCTTAAACATTCTTGGCGGTTCCCTTCAAATAACTGTTCTCAATTTTTAATACCATCCAATGTTTTTTAACTTTTATTTAGAGAATTTTTTGTTGAACTTGGTGGTGCAAAAGGTCTTCTTTTTGTTCAGTGTGATAATGGTGAAGCGAACTTCAACTTAATTGCCTGTTGTCGATATCTTGTTGATGACACCCGGCGTCGTACACTAGAAATAATGATTGGACATTCTGTGAAACCTATCCATATTATCTTTATTATTCAATTTCCGAAGATTGCAGGGGGATGTCAACATTTTGTAGGATTTCAAGGTGGAAAGTGGCAGTCAGTTCATATTGACGAACTTCTTGAATCGAATGAACAACTTCCACACATTGAACAGCTTGTAAATCGCTCAGTAAGTGATTTGTTTCTGCCAGCAAACCTTTCAAGAGTTGAGGACATTGAAGACATAGCAGGTGATCAAAATGTTGACGCTAGTTCACCTAATGGTAGCGAAGATTTAAGTCCAGAGAGTACAAAGGTAAAAGAAGCATGCGGTATATTATATAAAAACTTTTCATTTGGCTCAAAGTAGAAAATTACTAGGCCTAAATTATGTTTTATGAAAGTCCAGTAGCGACCTTTGTGAAGTATTGGTTAGAGTACAATATGTGAGCTATATTAGAAGTTTGCTTGGCGCTGAATGTATGCAACGCGCACAATTGTACAATGCGCGACTTCCACTAAGGTGTCACGTGACAAATTCGAGTCATTTATCATGGCAACGAAAAACAAAAAGGTATATTTATAATGTTAAAAGCTGACATCAACCTGTCTTTTCACATGTTTGTTGAAGTTAAGAGCAAAACACTGTTTTTAACATATTTCGCATGTCCATCACCGCTGCATGGTCATTGTTTTCCCTAAGGCATTGCAATTTGTATTTTGTTTTATTAGCCCGCCTGCACTTTAGTGCAGAAGAGCTATTTCCGTAGTCTGCGTCCGCGTTTATACACTAGATGATAAGTTGAATGATAAAATACCCCCGCTTTAATTAGAAATTAAACGAGACTTACCATAAAAATTCTACCAAATCACTGATAGTACATAAATGTTGCACGCATCGCCGTAGATCAGCTTTAGAAGACATTTTGTGGTCACTCGAAAGAGACCAATGAAAACATATTCAATGCAGAACTAAAAGCTGTTAAGCTTAAACGAGCTGAGCTGAGGTGGGTATGTAGAGCGTCGAATGGTATTATGGGCATGTTAACCCTGTTGTACTATTAGTGATTTGGTAGAATTTTTATCCAACCTCAACTTTAGATAAACCTCGTTTAATTTCTAATTCTAACAAATCACTATACGTGCATCCGGGTTACCATGAGATTTTAAAACAGTAAGCACGAAATGATGCCTCCGCAGAAGAAACATGTTATTTTACACTCCCTAACAGGCCGGCCGAGAGGTTGCACGGGGCCCGGAGCCAAACTTTCCCAGAGACCCGTATGGCTTCATAATTGTAAAACGGAAGAAGCAGTGTTTTACAGTATATTACACTTTATTGCAATTATCCGGCGCTAACGCAGCTAGGATTAATTTTCTCAGTATCACGAAATTTTAAGGGCCTTCGTTGCTTTGGAACTTCCTTTTGAGCTAGGGGTCCGGGCAAAGTGCTCCTTGATCACTTCACTTCCTTCTCTCAGCGGCCCTATTTTCTAATACCTTAAGAAATAATTGTATACTCTCTTTTCAAAACGGTTAAACTCATTTGGTTACAGAAACTGACTTATTGTTATAGAATTTTCGGAATGTCGACTTTTTTCAAACTGGCTGTGGCATAAAATTACGTCCACCTGTACTGGCGTAGTCGCTTTGCTGGTTCAAGCGGATATAATGCTGTGAGCTGAAAATTGTGTCATGTTGACACCTGTTTGTCCTACCAATGTTTTTATCCACCGTCCAATAGTCGATGCTGTCACAGACCGTACGACTTAATAACTTTTTATATAATGATATAATATAATAATATAACATTTTATACACAACATGCAGCTTCCTATCAGTATAGTCGTACAGAGATAGATTTCCAAAAACACGACCAAGTCGGTCTTGTTTGATGTGTTTAGTAACAACAAACAGATACAAATTCCCCGTCATGTACAAATACTCTGCAGAGATGTCCAGAAAGGTCAAAGCCTGACATCTTTGTCGAATAATATTGGCCATCGATGTTGCCAATTTCAGCGTAAGTTTCTTCAGAAATAATTTTTCTAATGGCCATAATTTGAACAATTAGTCACGGACAAGGTCAACCGGCTAAGTAGAATGATACTTTGGGACAGAAAAAATAAGATTAGATTAGGATTTGATTAAGATTTGGGGTTAGGGTTACAGCTCAACATGTATCGCGAATTTATTCTATTAATAAATTCGGACCTGTTTAAATTAACGATTTACTCATATAGTAAATTCAAAGGTGGAACTCATGCTGGGTTTTTTCTGTCTGTTACTTGATAAATCGATCAAAATTAAGCTTGTTAAGCTCTTCCACTTCTATTTTAAGTTCATCCCTAAACAGATAGGTTGAAATAGCTATTGTTAATATTATTGAACTATAATTCTGCTTATTAAGATCAGGAGAAATCAACTATCAGTGTTTCATGTTAACTTCACTATGGCTATTGGAAGGTGCTCTGATACGATTAAAGTAGATTTACGATAGTAACAGTATCAATTTAATTTGTTTAGGATTTCAATGAAAAAGAAGTTGATCACGACAAAATTGAACCACCACTATTGTTAAAAAACTGCCTGCAAGCTGCAGCGGCAAGAATTTATGATGAGTCAGCTGAGGTCGACAGGGCCATGAAACGTATTGTAATATTGCTTGAATGGTTGCCCGAAGATGATTCAGAAGAAACGGGTTTGTGAACCGGTTATATTTTATTAACCGTTATATATATAGTTTATATAAATGCGAGCAATAATGCGTGCGTAAGAAAACTGTCACTTCGCGGAAAATATATAAAAATGCGTAACGTATCTTCAGAAAAGTGATCATTTATAACACAGTTTAACCAATTATATATATATATATATATATACTGTTATGGTGCGTTATTTATGCGTCAAATATATTTTCCAATTAGGTATATTTTCAACCTTTAGGCTTCGGGTTCAAATTATATTAACGCTACCGTAACACAAATACCATGAAACCTTATACCTTTTATATATTTTATTTACTTTCAACAATATGAATTAGCGTCTCTATAATGTTATAATAATATAGTAATCTTAATATATCAACTTATCTCTCTATTTGTTTGAGCTGAGCACAACTTTGAATCTTTACTCTTTATACTTTGTACTTTGTATTCCGTCTTCTTTAATAATAATTATTCCACAATATTCCATTGTTCTTCAGTTTACTTGACGAGGCTTAATTATCTAGCCTTTTAATTATATACTTCAGCCTTTGTTGGCTTATGAAGTATTTAGCCTAAATGGCTCTTCTCACTTCACTCTCCGCTCTCGACTCTCGGGTTGTGCTCCGCTTTTATAATAAATTTTAGAGGAAGAAATCTGTAACTATGACTAATTTCCTCTACGCAATATGTTTGTCAAAGCAAGTTCTAGCAGTGTTTATCAACCACAAAACTATGTCCTGTTTGCGTGGTTTGT